TTTAAAGTTACATTTATTAATGAATTAATTTGAGCACAAATGGTTTGTGGTCCTTTGAATCGATGAAGGTTTTCTTTTCTTTTTTTCTTTTTTCTTTATCATTTTTTATTGATTTTTATTGAGCTCTACATTTTTCTCTGCTCCCCTCCCTGCCTCTCCCCTCCCCTTCAACCATTTCCCAAGGTCCCTATTCTCCCAATTTACTCAGAAGATCTTGTCTTTTACTACTTTTCATGTAGATTAGATCCACGTATGTCTCTTTTAGAGTCCTCATTGTTGTCTAGGTTCTCTGGGGTTGTGATTTGTAGCCTGGTTTTCTTTGCTTTATGTTTAAAAACCACTTATGAGTGAGTACATATGATAATTGTCTTTCTGGGTCTATGCTCTTGTTTTTTGTTTGTTTGATTGATTTTAAGTTTTTAGTTGCAGGATATATACACCATAAACAATCCTCTCTTTGATACTTTTCCAAGGGCCTTAAACTACAGCAAGAAGTCTAAAAGGCTTTCTTTTAAAATAATAGGTAGAGAGTGGGTGGGAGAGAATACAGGTGCAACAGACCCACGGAAGTTAAAGGAAAGACACAGGAACCTTCAGCTTTGAAAGCTTGCCCTATATTCTCAGCCTTAAGATGGCCACACAGCCCAGAGAGAGAGGGAGCCACCAAAGGTCACACACCAATTCCAGAAGTGAGATTAGCACTTGGGTCTTATCACTGATTTCAGCTCTCAATTTGATTATTTCCTGCTGTCTAATTTTCTTGGGTGAGTTTGCTTCTTTTTGTTCTAAAGCTTTCAAATGTTTTGTTAATTCACTAGTGTGGAATTTTTCCAGCTTCTTTATGTAGGCATTTAGTGCTATGAATTTTCCTCTTAACACTGCTTTCATGTGTCCCATAAATTTGGGTATTTTGTATGGTCATTTTCATTGACATTTAGAAAGTCTTTAATTTCTCCCTGTATTTCTTCCTTGACCCATTGATGATTCAGGTGAGCATTGCTCAATTTCCATGTGTTTGTGGGCTTTCTGGAATTAGAATTACTGTTGAATTCTAGCTTTAAGCCATGGTGATCTGATAAGATATATGGGATTATTCCAATTTTTTTTGTATCTGTTGAGGTTTATTTTGTTACTGAGTATATGGTCAATTTTTCAGAAGGTTTCATGAAGTACTGAGAAGAAGGTATATTTTATGTTTGGATGGAATATTTATAGATGTCTGTGAAGTCCATTTGAGTCTTAACATCTATTAGTTCCCTTATTTCTTTGTTGATTCTTTGTCTGACAGAACTGTCCAGTGGTGAGAGTGGAGTGTTGAAGTCTCCCACTATTAGTTTGTGGACTTTAATGTATGATTTAAGCTTTAGAAGTGTTTCTTTTAAATATGAGGGTACCCTTGTATTTGGGGCATAGATGTTCAGTATTGAGATTTCCTCTTGATGTATTTTTCCTCTGACTAATATGAAATATCCTTCTTTGTCTCTTTTGATTGATTTCATTTGAAGTCTATGTTGTTAGATGTTAGGATAGCTACATCAGCTTGTTTCTTAGGTCCATTTGATTGGAAATTTTTTCACAACCCTTCACTCTGAGATGATGTCTATCTTTGAGGTTGAGGTGTGTTTCTTGTATGCAGCAGAAGGATGGATTCTGGTTTTGTATCCAATGTGTTAGCCTGTGTCTTTTTATAGGTGAGTTGAATCCATTTATATTAAGGGATATTAATAATCAGTGATTGCTATCTCCTGTTAATTTAGTTTTTGTTGTTGGTGATGCTAATCTGTGTGTTTTTCCCTTCTTTGGGATTTGCTGCTATGATATCATCAGCTGTCTTTTTGTTGATGTAGCCAACTTCCTTGGGTTGGAGTTTTCCTTCTAGTACTTTGTGTAGAGCTGGGTCTGTATTGGTTAAATCTGGTTTTGTCATGGAATATCTTGTTTTGTCCATCCATGGTGATTGAAAGTCTTGCTGGGTATAGTAGTGTGGGCTGGCATCCTTGGTCTCTTAATGTCTGCATAACGCTTGACCACGACCCATTGTGTCCAATGAGAAGTCAGGTGTAATTCTGATAGGCCTGCCTTTATATGTTACTTGGCCTTTTTCTGTTTCAGCTCTTAATATTCTTTATTCTGTACGTTTAGTGTTTTGATTATTATGTGGTGAGGGGACTTTTTTTTTTATCCAGTCTATTTGGTGTTCTGTATGCTTCTTATATCTTCATAGACATATATTTATTTAGGTTGGGAAAGTTTACTTCTATGATTTTGTTAAATATATGTTCTGTGCTTTTGAATTGAACTTCTCCTTCTTCTGTACCTATTATTCTAATATTTGATCTTTTCATGGTATCCCATATTTCCTGGATATTTTGTGTTAAGCTTTTGTTAGATTTAATGTTTTTTTGACTGATGATTCTATTTTCTCTATTGTATCTTCAGTGCTTGAGATTCTCTCTTCTATCTCTTGTATTCTGCTGTTTATGCTTGCATTTGTGGTTCCTGATCACTTTCTCATGATTTCTGTTTCTTTAATTCCCTCGGCTTATGTTTTCTTTATTGTCTCTATTTCAGTTTTCAAGTCTTGAATAGTTTCTTTCATATGTTTGTTTGCTTTTTTTCTTGGTTTTCTTTAAGGGATTTGCTGATGTCTTCCAATTATTTGTTTGTCTTTTCCTCCATTTCTTTGAGGGAATTTCTCATTTCCTCTTTAAGATTTTCAAGCATTCTCCTGGAGTTATTTTTTTACGTCATTTTCTTCTGCTTCATCTATATTTGGTTGTTCAAGTCTTGCTGTTATAGGGTCTCTAGATTTTACTGGTGTTGTTTTGCTCTTTGTGGTGTTGCATTGTTCTTACCTTGTCTACCCATCTTTTCCTCTGGTTGGTGTAGTTGGGGCTGTCTGTGACTCTGATGATTAATCTTCTGGGTGCCAGTGGATCCGAGGTACAGATGGTTGTTCTTCATGGTACAGTCAGTGCCATGGTTCTAGTTATCCCATTGGTCACTCTGTGTTCCTGGAGGTCACTCAGTGCTCCCAGGGTTTGCTCTGCTCCCGTGGAGTTTGCTGTCTTAGGCCTGCTCTGGTATAGATTCCCGGCTTAGAGTCAGTTTCTGTAAATGTCCCTGGTCTGGATCTGCTCCAAGGGAGATCCCTGGCTTAGGGTTGGTCCTGCAAAGGTCTCTGGCTCTGATATTCTCCTTCAGAGGTCCCAGACTCAGGTGCGCCAGACCCTTAGGAGACCTGGCTCAGGCCTACTCCCTCAGAGGTCCCAGATTCACACCAGGACCTGCAGCAATCTCTGACTCTGGCCCACTTGCTCAGTAGTTGCTTCCCTCTATTTGCTCCTGTGGAGTTAGCTGTTTCAGGTCTGCTCCAGTCCAGGTCGCTGGCCCAGTCCTGCCTCCGCAAATGTCCCTGGTCTGGATCAGCCCCAGCCTATGTCACTGGTTCAGTCCTACTTCTGTGAAATTTGTTGCCTCAGGCCCACTCTTGCCTAGGTGACTGACAGTTCTGCTACTGTGGCGTTCACTGCCTCAGGCCTGCTCTGGCCTAGGTCGCTGGCCCAGTCCTGCTTCTGCAAATGTCCCTGGCCTGGATCAGCTGCTCCTGCTCCTGTGGAGTTCACCATCCCAGACCCCCTGCTCCTGTGGAATTTGCTGCCTCAGGCCTGCTTTGCCCTAGATTGCTGGCTCAGTCCCTCAATGAAGGTTTTCTAGCACCAATATTTGAAATTGCTCTTTTTCGAACATCCAGACATTTTTGACATTTTTGGGGTCTTCCATCATAGTTAGACTCTGGATGAATTCAGCCTTGGTTTTTGGGAGCAGGACCATTTTGAAGAGTAAGGTGGCAAGAGGGTGGCATTCTCAAGCTGAGCTGGAAGCATAGTGATGGAAATTAGGCTCTTAGGTGGATCCTTCATACTCCTGTCTGCAAACCCATTGGGAAGTCTTGCTGTTTCCCTACATGGCTCTGTACTGGTTTGCAGCCCCCCCCCCCCACCTTATATGATGATATGGGAAGGGGACACTGGACCATTGAAGGATTGGCTTGAGTGACTTACAAAATTCATGGGCTGTGGAAGGGGACTGGATGTAACCTTTAGGCAGAAGGGAGCCTGGGGTATTTTTGAGAAGGTTGTCAGTGAAGAGCAAATGTGGCATCTTGAAGAGCTGGATCTATTGAGGACCCAGGAAGGGGTTGCTGCACCTGAATTGTAGTGACAGTATTAGGATTTGACAAAATATTGGGTTGTGACCATTAGGACATCAGGACAGTTAAGGTTTTTAAGGGTTTTAAGGACTGAGGTGAGTTTTTTTTTTTTCATTTGTTTTGTTTTAGTTCACCTCCCAGCTTTTGAACATTCCTCCTGGTTGTCCAGACCCAGCTCCATCAGTCAGTTCTTCTCCAAGTGTGGACTAGGTTCTTTTAGAGGTACTTGAGATGTTTAGGAGCTTAGAGTAATTGAAAGCAGTATAGGCAGGACCTTGAAGAACAATGGAGCTCCAAATACCTTTTGGGTCCTGCCTGCACGAATGAGAAAAATCTTAACATTTCTCCCCAGGCCACCTCCTTTTTGTTGACAAAGAATAAGCCTCTTGGGCAAGGCCTCTGACCCTTTGGCAAGCCCCAGTTGTAGTGTGTAAATAGGACTTTAAAAAGTTATTTTCATAGAACTCATTTCCGATATCCCAGGGTGCAAGGGCTGGAGCCATGTATAGCTTTTTAGTTTAAGCAAATTCATTCCAGTGAGAAAAGTTAGTCTGCTAATCATATGGAGTAACAATGTAGCCAGTGGCCTATGCATCAGTCAGGAACCTTGATGGCAACAGAGAGTTACTCAAGCCTGGGAAACAGTAGATTAGACTGTATAGCAGAAAGGGGCCCTTGCCAAATCTCTGCATAGCAAAGTTGGGGCTCTGTGTGGGTTCTGGGGGGCATGGGTCCACTGCTATTCCTAGCTCCAGCTTGATGCTCATCAGCTCCTTGCTTCCTACAGAGATCCGCATGCAGCTGGTGGAGCAGTTCAAATGCCTGGAGCAGCAGTCAGAGTCGCGGCTGCAGCTGCTTCAAGACTTGCAAGAGTTCTTCCGCAGGAAAGCTGAGATCGAGCTGGAGTACTCCCGCAGCCTGGAGAAGCTGGCCGAGCGCTTCTCCTCCAAGATCCGCAGCTCCCGGGAACACCAGTTCAAGTGAGAAGTCGGTTGCAGGTCCTGGGATGGGAGGTGGCCCTGGGCAGGAGAGCTGTTGGCAGAGGCAATGAGCGAAGGAGGCTAAAACCAGATCCTGACCTGCAAGGTCCTGCAAGGTCCTGCAAGGTCCTGCAAGGTTCTGGGTTCTGCAGCTTCCAGGAGCTGGTTGTTCTCATGCACCAAATAAAATGGCCATGGCTTCCATGCAGAAGGTCGCTATAGAGTTAGATGGGTGGTATGGAGCTACTTTAGCTTATGCCCAGCAGACTTTGTACCTCTTTTCAGCACATCCTGACTTTATCTGGTTGGGTTTTAATTGGGCATCAGCTCAGCTTCTATGTCCTTAGGATGGTCTTCTTGAGGATTGGGTTCACAGAGCATCCTTCTTCCTTGCCGTTCTGGATGACCTCAGTACCTAAACACTCTCCTACCTTCTTATTTACAACACACCGGCCCTTGGATATCCTAAAGCCCTGAGTAGTAATGGTCTCTATCTAATGAGAAAGATTCCGAAGACTTCCAGTTACACCCTGAATTGTGGCTGGAACTATCCACAGGGGGTGTGCACAGCTGGGGTCTCGTCACTGGCCCCTCCTTCCTCTTGATTTGAAACCAGCCCCCCTCACGTGCTAAGTGTAAGTATGGAGGAGAGGGGCAGGGCAGGCCTTGAGGACACAGGGGTCCCTTATTCCCTCACCTTGTCTGTAATGAGCCCCACTAGCCCCTCAAGGGTTCATTAACACAGCCACCAGCTGATGGGAGGCCCAGCTGGCAGTCGGACCGTGTGGGCTGCTTGGCTCACTATGAAAGTCTAATTAGGGGGTCACCCAGGCCACTGCAGCTGGGGTAGACCCTCTTCATGGCGCTCATGTGATGGGCCAGTCCTGACGGCTTTTGGAGGTTCAGTTTTCTGAGCAGGCTGATTCACCTTTGACTCCAGGGTGCTCAGGTACCTGGCCGCTGCTTCTGTTCATAGGTTCTGTGCTGTGTTCTGGTCCTTCAGCCTAGATGTCCTGAGAAGCCAGTCTGTTTACAGATTCTTCACATAAGAGTGCCCCACCTTCCAGGTTGCTTTCTGGGGCTGGAGGAGAGACCTGGGTAGTCTCACTGCAACAATCATAGCTGAGGAAGCAGATGGGAGGAGGGAAAGGAAAGAGAAAGGCAGGAGGGGAGGGCGGAATTTATTAATTCTTGGTTCACGCAGTTTACTTGAGTTGAGAAATTTGGCTCAGAGAGGGAATTGATTTGCAAAGATGCCACAGCAAGTTAGGGACAGAGCTGGGACGGAAATGGAGGTCCTTTTGTTCTAGGTTAAGGTGTTTTCCTTTGTCTGGTGGGTACTTCTCCCTAAGGCCCAAGCTTTTCCCCATCTGCCTGGGCCGTGGGGATGTTTACACCTGTGGACCATGCTAAACTTAGGTCCAGACTTAGCTGGGAAAACTTCCAGGTGGCACTTGATTTAAAGAAAGGCGTAGGGGCTGCCATGGAGGGGCAACAAGTTAAGGGGCTTGCTGCTGAGCCTGACAACTTGTGTTTTGAACCCATATGGCAGAAGGAAAGAACTGACTTCTTATCCACTAGGTCCAAAGAGCCTGATACCAGCTCCTGGGCTCTCCTGGGGGAGCTTGAACATTGTAGAGAAGGGGAGGAGGCGGTGAAGATTGGCATCCTTCACTGACTTAAGATGGGAAGGATTTATGAAGGGAATGAGGCAAAGCTGGTGCCCTGGGCCTTGATCTGTCTTTGTGCATGAGCACTGGGTTTCAAAGTCTGCAATGACAGAGAAGATGGCTGATGAGCAAGGGTGTCTAGCACCTAGCAGAAGTCTTGGCCTATGGTTGGTACACATGTTTCCTGAATAAATGCCCAGTGGTAATTAGAGTTGCCACAGGGGGCAGTGTATCTTTTGACTTCCTCAGATGGCTGAAATGTTTGAGCAAACTGTTTCCCATTCATGTACCTGGTATTAGTGCTGTATTGCTGCAAGAACAGCTGACCTTGATAGTAACCTTCTGGCTGGAGGGTGGGGGCCACTAAGGGACTGGTGTGAAGGCTTGGTAAATAGAGGCTTCTCTAAAATGCAGGGGCCTCTCCATCAGAAGCCCTGGGGCCTCAACAAGCCTTTCTGGGGATGCTGGTGAGCAGCCACTTTGGAAGGTTTTCTGCATGACAAATGGTATTTGGTCTTTTTAATGGGCTATGCTGGCCCACCTTCCTTGTCACCAGCATAGAAGTCACAGTCATGCCCTTTCTGGAAGAGCTTGGCTTTTCCCCCTGATGATCTGGACTGAGGAACATTCGATGGGCAGGAAGATGCCATGGAGGGCAGCACGTAGGGTCCTGACCCTGCTTCTCAGGAGGATGGGTGGCCTGGTCCAGACAAGCTGGCTGGGTGTGCAGAAGCAGAGGTTTCCTGCCACCAAGACTTTCTCCAAGAGCTGTATATTCTAAAACACCGATACTTTGAGATACTTGGTGGGGGAAGTAAAAAAGAAAAGAAAAGAAAAGGAATCCTGTATTTGGGAATCACTGTCTGTTCTGGAATCCACTATGTAGACCAGGCTGGCCTTGTCCTCACAGAGATCCATCCATCTCTGCCTCTTGGGTGCTGGGACTAAAGGTGTGGACCGCCACAGCTCACAGACTGCTCTTAACGAGCCCCTGAGATGTCCCCATCACAGTGTTTAGAAGGCTCTGAGAGGTTTTACTAAGCCTGGTTGTAGTGATATTTCATTTGCCTTTTAATAAATAAAGCTTGCCTGAAAATCAGAAAAGTCAAACAGCCGCACTGGCCAGCCTTACAGACCAGGCAGTGGTGGTGCACACCTTTAATCCCAGTAGCCACACTAGCTTGCCATAGAAACCAGGCAGTGGTGGTGCACACCTTTGATCCCAGTAGCCACACTAGCTTGCCATAGAAACCAGGCAGTGGTGACGCACACCTTTAATCCCAGCACTAGGGAGGATTATAAAATGGGAGGAGACACCTTTCAGACACAGTCCCATTCTGAGATCCCTGGAGGCAGGATCGCAATTTCAGACAGAGGTAGAGGTAAGAGCCAGTGGCTGGCTGTTTTGCTTTTCTGGTCTTCAGGTTGAACTCCACTATCTGTCTCTGAGATTTTATTAATTGTTCTTCAACTGTTGTCTTCTTTCTGAAAGCTATATGGACATAGCATTTCCCCTCCCCAGGACGAGTGATTATACTTTACAAAGGAGCGCTCCCTAGGAATCCAGATGCGTAGCTCTGTTCTACACAAACCCCAAAGTGTAATGACGTCCACCCAAACAGTGTTCAGGGCCCCTTTTATTCTGATTCCATTGGGTTTTGGTAGTTCTTGCCTTTCAGGGGAATATGCCTCATGACAGTTCCCTGTCCAGGGTTAAGTGACGCTGGCTGCTCTGTGACCCACAGAGAAAAGCAGCAGAGAAGTCTGTTCAAACACATTAGAAATATTTGGGGGGAAAGCCAGAGTTTGGGAAGAGATGGGCGGTGTTTGGCTGAATGCTGCATAATATTCTATGCAGAAATTCAGTGCTAGCACAGCTGGGAGTGTCTTCCAGCTTCACAGAGCAGTTGAGAGGGAGGATCCCAACTGACTTCGTTTCCAAGAAAGCACTTCTTACTGAGAAAGAAGTGCCATGGTTTTCACAGCTGCAGTATGTCTTAAAATGATAGTATAATTGAGATTTAGCCTTCCAGGTTATTCTTGACAGAAAAGCATTTTTGCAATGTGGAATTTGAAGTTGGTGTGCAGAGGACCCGGAGTTGAGAGGTCTGGGCAGGATGAAGGAAACCCTCAGGTCAAGCTTGTGTTTCCTACTGATAGTTATGACTGCTCCCAGGGCCAGAATCACACCGATTAGTTGTTTAATTTTCCAGTTCCCTCATGTCTGCTTTACCCTGTGCCAGGTGAGTAGTAGTCACCATCTTATGGCACTTTCATAGCATGGAGGACAGCTGCATCTCTAGCTTCCTGGGTGACACTAGTAAGGTTTGGGGAAATTAATTTGCCTGGGACACAGCCTTTGTTGCAGATAGTACAGGTTGTCAGACTCCAAATGCAGAGTGCCTCTGGCTGTACCACCGCATGGCCGGTCCGTTTCCTTGGCTACCTGCCTGGGTTAATGCTCGCTGAGTGTCACCATCTAACCAGACCTGTGTGAGCATCAGCGGTCTGGAAAAGGCACTTGTGAAAAGCCTCTGTTGTAGCCTGGCGAGTTGTGGGTCTCACAGGGCTCAGGTCAGAATAGCAAGGCACCGAACAGTTTATAGGCCTGGCATGCGCCTTCATCCTGCTAGGTACTTGAAAACAAGGAAACATTTCTAGTCTCTCTGTCTCTTTGTCTATCTCTGTCTCTGTCATAAACACAAGACAGAACTGCTTGGTGCTCCTCAAAATAAAGGAAGGCTCACTGGTGCTCCCTGAGCCATAGCTGCTCAATTCTCTCCCAGCCTCCTTGATGCTCCTGCCTTGGTAACACCTCTCTACTCTCCCAGTCATCCCCAGGCTCCAGTACCTGCCTAAGAATGCATTATGCTGTGTGTTTCCCTTCAAGTTGCTTTCTCAGGTACCTTCTATTTGTGGCAACATTTAAAAAAAGAAATCTATGGCTAAGGAAAGTTCTTTGTCAATATCTTTAGAAAAAGGCAGCAATAGACCTGAGAGATGGCTCCATGGGTAAGATACATTTTGTATTTGAGTGTGAAGACCCGAGTTCAAGTTCATAAAACCACAGGAAGACCAGGTGTGCCTGCACATGTCTGTGGCAGAACTTCAGAGAGAGAGGAGTCAGGAGGATCATGGGGGGGGGGGGGTGCTAGGTGCCAAGCTATCTCTAGGTTCACTGGGAGACCTTGCATCAAGGGGGTAAAGTATAGAGTGATAGACTAGGATGCCTGGTGTTCTCCTTTGGCCGCTGTGTGTGCGTGTGTATGTGCACACCACACACACACACACACACACACACACACTTAAAATCAAAGGGAGATACTGAGC